GAATTATGTCTAATTATTACAGCAGTCATTTCATTTCCTTTACATTCATTGTAAAAACAACGATACACATGCTTAAATAACTAGCATTCTTAATTTGTGTCGATTGAATTGTATGTTAAAAGTTTTAAGGATCGAGTTTTACCAAAGATATCACATACAGTCAATATCTTCGAAATTCCTGTGTTAGTCTCTTTATAAATTTGGCTTTAGGATGACACATATGCTAGACCAGCATTTATACCTTTTTACCGACTGACCACTGACGACATATTGTTTTACCTAAGGTTGATAGAATTCACCTTAACTTATCTCAAATATATATGCTACCTATTTGCTGGAAAAAATAAAAACTGTTGTTTCTATAAATTGATATAACAAAAACACAAGTTTAGATATGGTAATATATCATATGTTCAACACAGTATGAATCCATTCTGAACTCGTTCGCTAACGTCTTTTTGATTGGAAGCTTCATATATTTACTCACGACTGTAAATAAAAAGTAAAAGCTACCAGAGGAATTCAAAGTAATACGTCGAAATATACTGACAACGCCTTGACTAAAAAAGAAGTACACAAAACACAACACAGAAGGATAAAGACTGATCAGCACAAACCCCACCAACAACTAAGGGGTGATCACAGGTGCTCCGAAAGGGTAAGCAGATCCTGCTTCACATGTTGCACCCTTCGTGTTGCTCATGTTAGTTATAACCCGGTTATAAGTCTAATTCGGTAGGTCATACTCGGGAAAAGGGGACAGGATTAAACAGTAACAATTTATAGTAAACTCGATAATTGGTTCTGAACATCAAAGTTCACAAGTTACTCGTTGAATCAACACTTTTCAATCCATCGAATAAGTTTCTATAAAATATAATGCAAAGATGCTCGTCAAGATTAAAGCCCAAATGTTTCCCTTAGTGCGTCTGTTATGCGGCCATAAAATAAAGAACGATATTTCAAAGAAAGGAAATGTAACAAAGTTTAGGCTATATAAGTAATACAAACAAAGTATAAATGTCATTCTTTATTTTCCTGTGATCTGATACTTTAAAGGACGAACTGATTTCCTTTTGAAAAGTCAAAACCTTGGATATATCCCTTTTCCTTGCAAATGAAAATAGCCATACAAAAAAAGTAACATTTTGCCTTTCTAAGAACGCTCATAATCCAAATATTGAAAGATAATGATATATAACTACCTTAAAAAGTGAAGAACTATATGATATAAAAGGGCATAAATGAATAAACAAATACATCTAAGACCAACTTTGCCTGAGGGCGTTGGAATAAAGTTTTACCAGACTATGATTTAAATCTCTAATAATACAAAAAGCTTCTCGTCATTGACAAACTTGTGCACATTATTCTTGCACGACTTCCTCGCTTTGCAAACATTACATACATTATGTGTCTATATTAAGTGGCATAAAAAAATTAAACTAAAAACAATCAACATTTGGATCGTGTTCAGAGTTATGAATTAATCCCAGAAAATACCTGACGCACTGATTAAACAACAATACAATCATCATAACTTAATAACTAATTCTATAGATACCAACATAAAATATTTCTTGTTGCTAAATAAATAATATAACTATAAACATGAAAAGGGTTGTCATATGTAAGATGCATGTGGTTATAGTAATGAAAATATTAGGTTCGTTTAGCTTCGTTCATTGAAATCAATAACTCCACTGCATGTTCCTGCTTATATTACTTACATGTACCTACAGATGCGTACTTTTTAATTAAGTCAGCAGAACATCACGATATTTATATTTTGAAAAAAAATATTACATATCTTTTATATCTGGAGCCATTTATGGTTAAATATATACTACTTGAATTTGGGTGTTATGTAAGTTTTCAGTAACTGCAAGTACTCTTAAATCGGAACTTTATAGATATTTGACATTATATACGCCGATATGTGTTTCATGTATGTTAGGTATCGTTCTAATTCGTCTAAGTTTTTCCAATTGGTTTTTACATTTGGATCTTTGTTGTGCACCATCACAACAGTCTCTACATACACTACAAACTGCTCAGAGTCTGAAAATACCATATTTTCTGATCGACACAGATTTTATTTGATGAGACTCGACATAATCTCGACAGTACTTAGCTGCACTCGACGTTGGTCTCGCCTTTACTTAATAAGTCGGATTGAGTACTTGATAATTTTGAAATACTGTGGATTCATTTGTTTACGTGGGTACCAGTTTTCGTGGTTTAAGGTAAACTTGCAATTTTGCGGATAATTGATTTCGTGGTTTTGTCAAAGTCTGCATACGTTCTTGTAGAAAATTTGCGTTTCGTTGAACTTTCAATTCGTGGTTCCTCTGTACCCACCACGAATTGTTCGATAATTGGTGTCCAACGAATAATAATGAATCCAGTCTGTATATGGTCTTGAAAAATGCTCGACCTATCTCAACCAGTCTCGACTCAGTCTGAATCAGCCCATCTCAACTATATATTGATCTTACAAAATTCCAGATTATTTGGTAGTTTGGTTCATTGCTGTCAAAGGACAAGGTACACTAAGGTCCGTATTTGACCCCCTTTTTTGTCAAATCTTTTTTTTATGAAATAAACGAAATTATTATCGGAAATAATTGGCATATATCTGTTCTTAGGTAGCTTATGCGGATTTTAATTTTTGGTAAAGCAGAAACCTGATTTTGGGTTGCTTAAAGTGATCTGATTACGTCAAAAGATAGCAAAATGTTGATTTTTGGACCGAAATTCATTGTTTTTAAAGGCCTCCGCCAACGTGAGCCACAGAAAAGAATGGTGACAAAGATAGCATTCAAACGGGATTTTCTGATAAAGAAAAGAAACTATTGGCTCACGTTGGCGGAGGCCTTCAAATATGAAAAAAAAACCAATCCTAAAAAACAACTTCGCCGTAATAGTAATATCGGAGCGGAATCGGAGAAATGGCTAAAAATCTCCGCATTCGGCTGTGATTACCAGACACCATCAACTACATCAAGAATATTTCCAAAAGTGAGGTTTTTAGTTTTGAGATTTTGCAATCATTCTTTAAATTGTATTTTTTTTCTTTTTATCAATCTGGATTTTGTTTAATCAATTTTGATCAACAACTATATGGTGAAAACGTATGCATTTGGCTAACACGATAAACAGCCATTTTCATTTGTCCCTCCGGTTGAGTCACGATATAAATTAAAGCAACAAAGAGTTTGAATAATTAAATAATATTTCGTTTCAAGTACAAAATAAGGTGATAATTCGGGACAAAATATCGGTCCGGTTGCAGACTACTTTGAAAAATAGACTACCGCCGAAATCAACTAGTTTTGCTTATTATTAACCGGAGATTTTTCTAATGAGCTAACATAAAAAAAACAAGTAAAAAGTATATAATTCCCAGATAATTTCGTTTACAAATAGAATAAGCTGAGAAAAATAACAAATGAAAAAAAAAGCAGTAGTGATTAGTATGTCGTTTTAAGTAAATCTATATGGGTCGACAACGTATCCTACCGTAGTTTATAATCGGTCATCATGTTGGTTCGTTCGGATTTTGTTATTGTACTTATCACATGGAAAGACTCCTCATTGACGTCACTACGCTAATACCAGCGTACAAAATAAGTGCAGAATACATTTTTTCTACTCTTCTAAATAAAATTTTTTTTAAAGATATGTTTTCATTGTTATTCTAAAGTATTGTACAAAAATGCCAATTTTCTAAGTGCCGTTTCAAACCTGACTTCCGAATGCCTAAACACATTCCAGAACTTCAGAAAATCCCTCTTCCGGCCTCCATTGCTTTGTTTACATTCCATTAAGCGTCATCAATCTTAATGGCAGACCAAACAGGCCAAGCAAATCGTATTTTTAAGAATTTCAAAATGGCAAGCACCTTACGTCTTACGCGATTTTCCCGTGAAAAAAAAACCCATCCAAATTGAAAGAAAAACTTTGGGAAACAAACGATAAGCATGCCATATTTTTGTTCAGGAATATAGAGTAGGTTAATAAAAAACAATATACATATATTTTTCATAAAATTTTTTTTTGGTTCAATGTAAAGAGATCGATATTCTGACCATAAGTAAATATTCATATGAAATTCCATTGATGTCAAATTTCATGGCTAATAATGAGGTTTCCTATTGAATAAACCCCCAATTTATTGCAAACTATTTCAAAGCAATATCATACAAACAAATTATATAATTGCCTTGTACTAAAAAATCACCTAATTGACAGTAGAGCAATTTGATTGGATATAACGATTCAATGTGTCACGTGGTTTTGAAGTCATTAGAATTTGAATGTAAACAAACCGGGTCAGCCGCTCCAGTATGGAACAACATCGTACATTCAGTGACCGAAAAACAATTAGCGGTAACCAATACACAGTAAAACAAAGCTAAGTCTACAGAAAAATAAAATAAAAAATGTCCTTAAGTGCACGACTTACCACCATTGCGGGATAGTGCAGTGGTAACGCTTTTGCATTTTGTCATGGCGTCTAACGTTCGAGTCTCATCATAGACAAGGAAATAATATTTTCAATTTTGTTTTACAAGTATCATTTTATCTTATTTCAAGGAGAAAGAAAAGCAGAAAACTGTTCGAGTTACTGATATCATAGCCAGCAATTTAGTGTGATTTCTAAACATAAAGTTTTAATCATTTCAATGGGATGTCACATGATTTTATTCAAAGTTCGAGCCTCATTCAATTTTTTTTGCCTTTGGAATCATTTTTTCAATAAGAGAAGTAGAATAGAAGTCATTTGAAGAAATAATATTAAAGGGAGTTCCTTTATATAGATTTTATATATAGTTGTTTCAGACAGACACGAATTTTCTTAAGGTTTCACTTGTGTCAACAGATAACAGTAATATGTTTTAACAAAAAGATTTTCCGGTTCTTGATTTTTAAAGTAAAAATGGTAAAAAAATATGTATCATAACATAATTAAAGGTTACACAAAATGCTTGGACGACCTGATGCGCAAGGTTTAATATAATATATATTTTTCTGTCTTATTTACAGATATAAAACTGTCATCCTGATTATGTAAACCATGGACACCAAATAATGAAATTCATGGACGTTCTTGTGCCTGTTCTCGAAAATGGTATAGTTATTTTGTTATATATCATTAGAAATTTATAATACTAAATAAGTTTTGATTTATGAACATTTTCTCATATTTCATTTTGGCTCCGTATAATTTCGATATCAGCAGCATGACTTTTGTACTCTTAAATCACGTTTTTATCAATGGTATTATAATTCAGAATTTGAAATACACGTCTGTAGCCAATGCCTCCTTAATATATATTTTACAAGATAAGCGAATGTAGCCTTTTAAGGCCGTTTAATAAAGATAAATAATTTTGCAGCTGCTCATCATATATTACAAATATATTTCGATATCTATTTTAGGTACATACATAAGGGGTTACAGAATTGATATTGATAAGAATGAAGAAACATAAGGAATAGTAAATATATACAAGATTACTTTTTATTTCTATGTATATTAAACAAAACAGCTTGTAAGGGTATTCTCGGAAGAAGACCATACAATGAGCACAAGTGTCCGCTGGATTGAAATAACTTGGCATTGAAGGTGGTCTGCTATTGAAAAGATGAACAAAAAAAATTATATAAGAAAAATTAATGTTGGGTTCATGTCAATGAGAGCCACCATTCGAACATCACAAATGTCCCAAGACTGATACCGCATGTTTAAAAATTTACTGCATCAAGATGCATCTCGTATTGCATACTAGACACTATAAAATTGGTCTTATACAGCATATCATACCCCACACAATACAATTTTTCGGACAGCTTTTAACCGTTTGTCAATACTTTGAATATTCATACTACCGCCGCCGTTTAATAGTATGACGTTCTCTTCATCAACTTGTGTACAAGTGTATAGATACATTTAATTACTGTTAGGGGTATATGGCAGAAGATATTGTTCAGTGGAGGATCCAAGGGGGGGGGGGGGGGAGTTCGGGGGTTGGACCCACCCCTTTGTATTGCACGATTAATGCATTTGAATGGGGGCATATGGTTTGAACCCACCCCACCCCCTTTTTTTTAAATGGCTGAATTTGCTCCTGTTGGTTGCATTGGTGTTTACAATAAGATAAATAACTGAAAATAAAGGTTAAATAAGAATAAATGATTTTTGATTGAATAATTAAGATAATTTCTCATTCATTTTCATTTTTAGGTAATGCTGTGAGGATGTCTACCCAACGCAATTTCAGTTGCATTATATGTATGAAAACGCATTTAAAAGAGACAAATCGACGAGCAATATTTAATTCTGGATTGCGGAACTATGTAGAGTCCATTTTAAAGAGACATGTGTACGAACATGACACAATTTGCTTAAAATGAAGAACACGAATCCAACGAGAAATTCAGGCGAACAAATTATTCAACAATGTGACTGCTGCAGAAAATATTAAAAGCAATGAAAAAAACCAACCAAGCTCTGGAGGCGTTCTTTGTCCAAAAAATATACAACCCCCAATATGTTGTACCACAAAATCGCACCGTAGGTGTATTGTTTGTAAAAAGGAAAATTCAAATAGGCATAAACTTATTGTTGTTTCAAATGAGGCTAAGACACAAACATTTATAGACAAGGTCATCTTTATTTCCACGAACAGTATGTGTTGTTCTGATCACCTTATTAGAAAATACTTCAAGCAAGAGGCTTTAAAAGCATTAAAGCATACTTCTCCGTAGACATTCTTCAATCGCACGGATATAAACGACTTGTTAGATACAACCAGGTCAATGTTAAAAGATGTCGGAAAACTTAATTTTGATGTTCAGATATCAATGTCAGATGACGATTTTGTTAATCTCACTGGACTAACCAAACAACAGTTTGACGTTGTCGCTACACACGTTACAGACTTGAGAAACTCTGAAGTACGTTCAATAAGAACATGTCTAGCTATTCTCCTGGTCAAACTACGCACTGGATTATCAAACTCAATCTTGGGAACTCTTTTCAGCCTTAAGTCCTATAATATACGGCGATCCGTACACTCAGCACGGGAATCTCTTATCAAAAATTATGTTCCTTCATTTTTAGCTCACCGGGGCCCGAAGGGCCCCATGTGATCTTATGCCATCACTTGGCGTCCGTCGTCGTCCGTCGTCTGTCGTCGTCTGTCGTCGTAAACTATTTAAAAAATCTTCTCCTCTGAAACTACTGGACCAAATACCTTCAAACTTTAACTAAATGTTTCTTAGGGTATCTAGTTTATAAATTGTATCCGAAGTTTTGACCCATCGACAAACATGGCCGCCATGGCTAAAAATAGAACATAGGGGTCAAATGCAGTTTTTGGTTTATATCTCAAAAACTAAAGCTTTTAGAGCAAATCTGACAGGGGAAAAAATTGTTCAATTGGTCAAGATCTATCAGCTCTGAAATTTTCAGACGAATCGAACAACCCATTGTTGGGTTGCTGCCACCGAATTTGTAGTTTTAACAAAATTTTGCAGTTTTTTGTTATTATTTTGAATATTATTATAGATATATATAAACTGTAAGCAGCAATAATGATCAGCAAAGTAAGATCTACAAAAAAGTTAATATGACCATAATTGGCAATTGACCTCTTAAGGAGTTATTGCCCTTTAAAGACAATTTTACACAATTTGTTCATCAAGTTTGTTAACATTTAAACATCTTCTCCTCTGAAACTACTGGGCCAATTACCTTCAAACTTTAATTGAATTAAATGTGAGCTTATGCCATCACTTGGCGTCCGTCGTCGTCCGTCGTCTGTCGTCGTCTGTCGTCGTAAACTATTTAAAAAATCTTCTCCTCTGAAACTACTGGGCCAAATACCTTCAAACTTTAACTAAATGTTTCTTAGGGTATCTTGTTTATAAATTGTATCCGAAGTTTGTATCCATCGACAAACATGGCTGCCATGGCTAAAAATAGAACATAAGGGTCAAATGCAGTTTTTGATTTATATCTCAAAAATTAAATCTTTTAGAGCAAATCTATTCTGAAGTAAATGGCACGGAAAATAGATGTCCTAAAATTACTCTCCAACAAATCAGAGATATAACAATGGGAGTATATCAACTAAAGCAGGCCTCAAGATATACAAAAAGCCATCTATCTGATGACAATTACATGCTCCAGACTTGCCGTGACCGCCCTAATCTATTATGAGTAAAACTAACATCCAGACATTCGTCCTCAAGAGTGTACAGTTTATGGATTGAATTAAGTGGAGATGAAGTCAACGGCTGGTATTGCACCTGTAAAATTGGCGCCCGGGTGATCGGTTGTTGTGCGCATATTGCATCTACAATGTGGTACCTTGGTTATAGCAGGTGGGAACTAGAGACACAAAGCTCGTGTAAATATGCGGATTCAATTTTGAATGTAAAAGATGTGCCACTTGAAGCAGATTCCAATTCTGATAGTGACGTTTTCATTCAGGAGTGACTCTCTTACACTTATATTTATTGACAGAGGTTAAGATGCAAATGCATTGATATAGTGAATTTATTTAAAAGGGGGTGGGTTTTTTATGATTGTTGTCTAAACAAACTATTTTGCGGACTTCAGCATACGATTATTGTTCTTGTCTTGCAAAATTCTATTAGCTTTTAATGTTAAATACTTTTTTTTCTCGCTGATGGTACATACTTTACTGTTAATTATTGGCTCACTAATTAAGAATAAGAATATGTTTGTACACATTTGAGTCACATGGCAGGGGTTCGATCCATGTGAGTTTTAGTCATAGTTTAGGTTTCAGTCATTTTGCTCTTACTGAACATACTCTACATAAAACAGTATAGAAATCTAAATAATGAACGACAATTATATTGAAATAAAAAATAGCTTGGTGCACCTTGTCAGCAGATCTGGTTAAATTTTTATCTCCTTGGAACTGATTGACGTGTGGTGTTATGTGTCTTTAATAAATAAGACTTTGGTCACTTTGGAGATTACACATTTTGTGTGGTAATACGTACATATATATTATATGGAGTGTCACTATTATGTGGTTGATATATGATTATGCAATATGATAGGTTTATCAAATTACCTTCGCTTTTAATATGGACATCCTACAGTTTAAATTCAGACTCTAAGTTTTGTCTTTTAGCAGTATTTTTTCACAGATTTTCACCAATGGCGTGCATGTTGTTATCCATATTAGACTATATCTTAAGATGCTTTTACCCGTTTTTGCGTAATATATACTTAACCTAGTAAGCTATACATGTTTGACTGTTTGTTACTCTTTGGTCAAGTTGTTTTCTCTTTGACACATTGTAATTTGTTTATGCTTCTATATTTAGTCTATTGGAATTATAAAATTCAATTCATTTGAAGAGGGGGGCCAAAAATGGCCCTTATTGTACCTTGTCCTTTAAGGATTTAACTTAAAGCTAAAAAAAGCCAGAATTTTCATTTGATGCTTAATTCAGATGCTATCACTTTTTAAATCAACTAGGATTTCCATATCATTCTATAGCTATCTCAATTAAATATTGATCTTAGAAAATGCCAGTTTTTTTTTTTTTGGTTTATGGCTGTCAAATTTAAGTATTTGATTAATAGGTTAAAAAAGCTAGAATTTTAAGTTCACACTAAATTCAGATAGTCACCTTTAAAAAAAATTGTATAACTTTTTTCAAATCTTTTGACTAAATTTATAGTCAAAACTGATCGAAACTGAGTCGAGATTGGTAGAGACTGAGTCGAGTCTCTCAAGACTAGTCAAGCATTGTCGAGACCATATTCAGACTATACCAAGATCATCAAGTACTCAATCAGACTTATAAAGGAAAGTCGAGTCCACGATCGAGTACATTTAAGTACTGTCGAGATTATATCAAGTCTTGTAAATTTATATACAGTAAGGTCAAGCACAAAATTTAGTCTTTGCAGTTTGTAGTGATATTTTCGTTAAATCTTTTGCAGTTATTTAGTCTTTCTGCGTACCCTTCTTAAAACAAATGCAGTAAAATTCTTGCTTGGTTCAAAAACATTATAAGGATAAGGAATTTAAGTGGATAACACCCAATAGGTCAAATAGATCTAATTTTTATTAAAACTGAAGACCTTTACCAACCAGTTGCTGTGTAACAAGAAATCAAAAAGGCTGGCTCTCATTGTTTCTTTGCATATCTTTATGAAAAACGTTTGATAACGCGACCTTTGTAGCTTGTATTACAAATTACTATCATCGTTTTATATATTCAAGCGGACATATGCGAATTCATTCCTTGGAATAAAGTAGTACATGGCTTATTGGTTTGAGATACTCTCATCTTCAATTTATAACCGGCTATTGGTACTGCAGATACAGCAGAACTCACAGAACAAAATCTCGATTGCAATATACATTGTATTGCGATATCAATACAAACTATAAACAAACGCTGCTGTAACTGATGGCATAAACATTTGTTATGAATGGCATTACAGATCCTATTGAAAATGCATAATGATAGCCGGTAATAGGATGGCTGATTACTTCGCAATGTTTCTAACGGTACATCTATTAGTACCGAGACTCTCCTTGAGAGTTATATGGCATCTTTAGAATGTAAAACAAACACGAATGATCGATCTCGTGATCTGTGAACTTCTAACATTGCTATAAATAAGCATGTTCTTTCAAAAAGAGAATGGAAACTAGAATGCGTCAAAATATACAACAAGACGGCCAGAGAGCAAAAACAACACAAGATCACCAATGATTTCTCATTCACGCACTTGTAGGCGGTCGGCTTCAGTATATATAATTGTTTTCGACAATGTGAATGCTATGATACCCTTAGGGTATACATGATAATTATGAGTTTAATTCTTACTAATACTTTAAGGATATTTCTATTTATGATATTCTACATCTTTTTGGAATGAAGATAAAAGACGACCACGCACTATTATATTCAAAGTCAGGGCAAATAAATCAGGGAAGAGTCAGTCATCAAGGTTTGCTTTTAGTAGAATAGATTAAATTCTTGAACCTAAATGTTGAGGGTGAAATTCGTTTTTTTCCTCCGTGACCTCGTATAAAAAAATCCGATTAAATAAAATAACAAAATTTAACTCCTTTATTGTAAAGACGATGAAGGTATACCAAGAAAAGCGCTTCGGATGCGTGCAATTTATAATCTGTTGTTTTAATTTTTTTAGCATTTGGTCGATACCTCTGCTGGTGGACTATCAGTCCCCGTGGGAATCATTAGCCTAGAAGTCATAACTTGGGTACTGACATGATTTATACCAAACTTTTTGAAAAATTATTAGAATATAAGAATTCATCTCGCTCAGGCAAATATCACCTCAGATGGATTTGGCTATCCTTTTATGTCCTTAACGAAACTATTGCTCTTTTACTGTTTTGGTTCTTTTACATCCTGGCTTTCAAATAATCGGCTTTGAGCGTTCCGGTGAAGATAAATCCAGAAAAGCGGTTCGGACGCATGAAATAAATGACGTGTTGTTTTCATTGTTTTGAAGAATGTACCTCTAGCGTTCACAGTTGTTATCCTGGTATCTATGTATATACTTTATAAATCATTTCCTCTGAAATGACTAGGCCAAATGGTACCAAACTTTACCTTAATTATCCTAAGGGTATCTCGTTTAAAACGTGTTCTTTTGATTGATCATGTTGATAGCGTTATTTTTATCGGTTTTTATCATGTGCATGGACTTTTCTTTTTGAATTTGCCTTGGAGTCCGTTTTCCTCGTTATACTTTTGTCTTATGACGTCTAAGAATGACCTGTAGATTAAAAACACATTGGGGTTATAAGTTAAGCCTTCATCCAATATTTACGGTGAAATCTATAAAGAGTTACATTTGTACAACGTTGTGTTTGACTTTCTAGTGTACAGATAAGACAGACTAATCGATTTACAGGAGAATTTAAGATAGGTTTACAAGTTTTTGATTACATTGATCATCTACATCAATACGATTTTTCCATTCAAATTATAATATATGTCAATAAATAAATAATCAGTTCCCAGATCATACGTAAAGTTCCTATTTTTAAGATCCGGTAACGCAGCTGATCTTTTTTTTTCTTGGAGCT